GACTGAATACTGTGAGGAGCAGGTGGGCCTGTATAATGATCCAGTTCTTAAGTAATATTTGAAGAAACTAAGAGATCCTCTGTTTCGAACTACACTGATTGTCCTTGATGAAGTTATTGGTGAATTTTCTGAATTATGCAAGCTGCTACAAAAAAAAAATCTTGCGACCATCGAGGCATACAGCAAAGAAAAAAAAATTACGACCATCGAGGCATACCAATTAATAAATGCAAGGATCACAAAGCTTCGTGCCCATATACCTCATTGAAAATATGCACAGGTCCGAAGAGGTTGCTGAATTGCTTGAAAAAAAGGAGGATATAAACATGAGTTCCATCATAAAATTCGTTAATGTTTGCATCAGTGAGCTGATCGACACTTCAGATTTTAATTTTGGCCAAGATGAACTTGCAGCACTGGTTTCTAGATATGCGGCATTCCTAGAAAGCTATGATGACATTCTCCCGAAAGTTAAGGATCAGTATTGTAACTTAAGATTTGTGCTTGCAGGAAAAATATATTTGGGTTGATACAGACTTTCGACGAGATGTTTCGATTTGTAATAAATGAGGAGCAATTCGGTGACATTGTCATTCTGTTGGATATTTGTGCTACATTTCTTGCATCAAGCGTCGATTGTGAGCGTGGATTCAGCAAAAAGAATAATATAACAATAAAATCTAGAAATAGGCTTGAAGAGTTACAATTAGACATACCTATGGGGATTTAATCGTATCGGAATGGTGGATATCAGATCAACCTTGACGATTCTAGTGGCCATTGGGGGTGGGTGTGTTGGAATTTAGTTGCATGACCCAACGACGGCATACATAATTGAAATAAATATAGATTTGATTAAACTATTGTGACATTACTGATAATAATTATTAAATTATAGTTCCTTATTTATTTATATAAAAGTTTTGGCACTAAAGTTCATTTATGTAATTTCCGTGTTTGTGGGCTGTAAAATTTTGCGTGCGTCATTGGGACAGTTCGTCTCAGCGATCTATGTCTTCTTAGAGTTGAAAGAGAAACGTTGGAGAAAACAGATTTTGATTGCGTAATGGACCAGTTTGTTACAGTGAAATCAAGAAAAATAAATATTTCGTAGACAATGTAAACCAGTCTACGACAGACACTGAGTGGGTCATGTACTATAATTTCTATAAATTTGCTTCCTTAAAAACAATGTTTTATTAAAATTAAATTGTTTTCTTCATTCACTGTAATAGAAAAAATGTGATAAAACGGTGAGGGGGCTGGTGCGCCAATTTTATAGTTTGTCCTGGGCGTAAAATACCATAGCTACGCCTCTGAAGTGACAAGTTATAAAGAAAAGTTTTTTCTAAAACTTGTACCAAAAATATAATTGATATGAAAATCGCAAAACATGTTTTAAAAAAAAAATGTTCGAAAGGTCTTCCCGCTGCATTTTGTCAGCAGATTAAATTGCCCAAAAATATTTCAATATTTATTAATGTAATAACGACTTTTATATAATCTTAAAACCCTTTCATAAAAGAACGGAAATTCTGAAATAATCTAGAAACTTCAAGATCCTTATATTAACTTATTAAAAAAAAAAATCTCCCCGATGAGAAAATTCCCATGAAAGTATATATGTATATAGAATTAAACTAAAATTTATATACACTTTAAGATCTCAATGCCATTTTAATAAACAAAAAAAAAAAAAAAATTACAATTCTTATATCCACGTGAAATTATACAGAACTTACAAGAACATTCTAGACTCATTTTTTAAACCTCCTTATAGAAACTTGTGAATAAATGTCTCTTCTAAGTAATAATTTCTAATGAGCTATTTTATTTTATTTATTCAATGATGAATAGTTTAAACAAATAAATAGTTTCAAATAAAATTATGAAATAACATTGCCATGTAGATACAATAAAATATGAAAGGAATTATGTAACCAATGCATGGTCAAGGGAACCCATATGTCAACTACTTCAACTAGCATCTTTTCTGTTTCTAGCTATCCATCTTTGTGGTGCTACAGCCCACGTGACGTAGGGCTTTGACCTGGCTCACTACTTCCCTCCACTCAGACCTAACTAATTCTTTTCTTTTCCATGCTTGTATTTTCAGTTGTTTTTGATCATTTTCCACATGATCCATCCATCTAAGCCTAAAGGTCTGGCTTTAACTTTAAGTTTGAGCATTTTCCCTCTGTGGTATTGGTGATGCACCCTCTTCACTCCTCTGTCATTTGGCATTCTCTCTAAGTGACCTCTTTTTATTTCTGGTACTATAGTGGGATCCTGATATAGACTCTACAATTCATGGCTCGTTCGTTTTCTCCATCCATATTCATCCTTTGTTGGTCCATATATTTTCCTGAGAACTTTCCTCTCCCATGTGTTTAATAGGTTTTCTGCTGTTTTTGTTAGGGTTCAAATTTCACTTGCATATATTACAACTGGTCTGGTTACAGTTTTATAAATAGTTTTCTTTGTTTCTCTTGTAATGTTTTTACTTTTGAGTATTTTCTGACTACTAAAGTATGCCCTGTTTCCGGTTACTCTTTCTTTTATTTATGTCAGTAATTCGTTTCTTTCATTTAATAAAGATCCTAGGTATTTGAATTGATTTACTTTTTCATAAGTCTGGCTTCTAATTTTCATTGCTTCATCTGTTTGTTCTTCTCTTATCATGGTCATGTATTTTTTTTTTTTTTTTTGGTTGTTAACTTCTAGCCCTGCTTGTAGTGCTGCGTTTTCTATTTCAGTTCTGATTTTTGCCGGTTAAGTGATCTTAGTATTATTCATAACTCATATTTTTTTTTTTTTTTTTTTTTTTTTTTTTTTTTTTTTTTTTTTTTTTTTTTTTTTTTTTTTTTTTTTTTTTTTTTTTGTTTTTTTTTTTTTTTTTTTTTTTTTGGTTGTTAACTTCTAGCCCTGCTTGTAGTGATGCGTTTTCTAATTCAGTTCTGATTCTAGCCGGTTAAGTGATCATAGTATGATTCATAACTCATTTCATGTGGCCTATGCGCGAAACGCATCCCATCCTATTGAATTTATTAAAAACGTTCTGGGTAGGGTCTTACTGAGACATCTCTTAAAATCTGACCAACCTTTTCATTCGGTGCTCTCGATCTCTTCTCCTTCCAATGTTAAAGTGACATCACCGACACATTTCAATCTTTTTTTAAAAAAAAGCGCTGGATGTAATTACAATGATTTCTTTTTTTTTAAACAGAAAAAAGTTATGATCTTCCTTTAGTTTAGTGTACGTATAGTTGCGGACTGTAAAGATTCCAGGGGCGACAGAGGCGTAGCGTGAAGGGGGGGGCAGATGTCCCCGGGCGCCAGCTAGTTAGGGGCGCCAAAATGTGCTTTGATATTATTTTATTGATGAAAATAAGGCGTTTGAGAGTTGAAAAAAAGAAAAAGGGGCGCTTTCAAATGGATCTTGTTCCCGGGCGCCAAACAGCCTCGCTACGCCTCTGAGGGGCGACACTAAGCTGGGGCTAAAAGCATACCCAGAGATGGCTCTGAACGTCAAAATGCTTAATTTCGGTGCTGATAGATACCCTTTACCACCCCTCCCCCCCGAACGCCTGAAATGCTACCCCTACTCCCAAGCGGGAAAATGACATGAAATCAACTGGTTAAAACGCAGGGGCCAAAATGCTTTTAATGACATTACTTGACAGAGTCGATTCCGTGAAGAGCGGTGCCCAGGGGGACACTAGTAAGACGATTTTAGGGCCCCTGTCTATAAATATGTGGACTACACGAATTTTTTTCATTTAATTCACTTTTAATTTTAAGGGCTTATCTCGATTTTGACGCCCGTGGTGATTGCCCCCCCCCTTTTTTTTTTCATCGACCGGCCCTGAGTATAAAGAGGGATAAGGGCCCTCAGTGTATGCTTTGCCCAGGGCCCTCACTGCTGTAAAGATGGCCCACTATAGGCCACTACGTGACATGAATGACCTTGGCTAAACTTAGTAAAAATACCCTGCATATTGAAATATCGGCGAATTTTAAACTATCCACTCCTTTTGGGGTCGGGGGCTCAAATTTTAATTAAAAATGCTCTAACTTTGGACACTTCAACTGCTTTTAATGAGATACTAATAAAATAAAGTTTTATCATTATCCAACCAAAATAATCACTGGTCTGAAATTTTAAACATTTGCACCTTTTGGGGAAAGTGGCCCCAAAGTTAACACATTCAAAAGGAAATATCTTTGTCAAATTCAATCCGATTTTAATGGGCTAAATTTGAAATTTAACTTGAATATTTATCAGAAGGATTTTTATAGGAATGATAACGACGTCTTAGGTGCCATCCATATAGTACATACGCACTGATGGGGAACTGGGGATGTCGATTTTGTGTATGCGTGTGTATTGCGGGATCTTGGCAGTACTTACATTTATTAATAAGTTGGAAAACAATCATCCTGGAATTCCGACTGTTCGAAAATAGAATATTTATATCTCTAAATCTAATGCTGTAAAAATATGATGGAAAATTAGATAGTCTATAACGGGTAAGAAATCTGATGGCTCAACATTTCCAAAATTAGATGGAAGGCTCAAATTCAAATTAAATACCGGTAGTTGCTTTCAGGACTAAAGATAACCCATATCATCTCCGAAAAGGTCATTTGTAAGACTTTTATACAAAAAAATAAAACATAATTTTCAAAAAAACTTATTACGTTATTCAAATAGGCAATGTTTTTTAAAGTTATGTGGCTGTATTGTTATTTGAAATTCTTTAAATCTCTCGAGTTCATGTTATATTTTAATGTCTGTCCCACATCATTTCAAGTTAAACACATAAGAAACACACAGACATGATGTGGGCAGTTTAAAAAAAAAACAAAGGGGAATAAAACATGATTTTGGTAAAATAAAAAGAAGTTGAAGAAGTAGTTTAATTATACCCAGAAATACATGGAAGAAGACAAAGAAAAACAACAAACACTAGTTTAAAAATACTAAGAAAAACAAATAGTAAAAGTTGCAGTTAACTCAAAGTTTATTTTTAAAAATAAAAACAAATCTCCTTTTTGGGAGAATGAGAAAATAATAACAACCAATGTCATTAATCTACATACACATATGATCATGTCATAATCTACAAATACATATGATCATGTGATTAATGGAGGTAAACGAGAACATTTAATCTTCATACTAAATCAAAATTATGACAACTCTGAATAATTAACCAAATACACAATATGGGGAATAAATCAGAAACATATTGCTCCAGCAAGTACTATTAAGATGGATTCATACAAAATTCAGAACTAAAAAACCAACTTGGTTAAACAGAACTTTTCTCAAAATCTGATACTAGAATCATCAAATAAAATTGTTACTAATAGTAACAAGCAATCTCAAAATTAGAGAGTAACAACGAATGCAAAGGTGAGTTGCACATAGCAAAAGAAACCTAGCGAAATAAGACATCCCACAAATTGTGTATCATAGCTCATTGGACAACTTGGCAGTGTGGTACATTTATAGATGCTAACCAAACAACTCTGCAGTGTGGTACATTTATATATGCTGACCAAACAATGCCATAACCACATTAGGTAGAACACATTTTATCAAGTATAATCTCAAGGCAACCCAAACAAAAAAAGTATGGTAATCAAATTTGAAAAAACGGAATTTCAAAAATCAATTTCAAAGAAATAAAGCTTAAAGCTTCAATTAGTAAACTAAAAATGATGATATGAATGAGAGCCCATCTCAGTTTTAAACACAAAAACTCTTAATCAAAATATTAGACTGGATTTAAGAGGGGAAAAAAACCCTGAAAAGTTAGTATGAAGATAATCAACATAGGATGATTTATGTACAAAATTTACAATATTTCCATTATTTAGACACAAGGGCCTTTAAGATGGCCACTACCTGTTTGTACCCTTGAGTCTTAGGGACATTTGGCATTATGTCGCAACCCATAAATACACCTGAAATACATCACAATAGTATGGTTGGTATACAAAGCAAATGTCAGAAATCAGTTTTGATATAGTTCAAATGTTAACTTCAACACTGCTTCAGCCCTACCCAAAGCAGTATCTATAATAATCCAACTGCACACAAAATGTAGAATATAATGAGGCATTATTTTATTAATAGACAAAATGTTATCAAACTATGCCATATCCTTATATTCTATTCATAATTAGAAGGGGTAACACACACCATACTAGGTTTTCCTTACAAACAAATTTTGGAAAGAAGCAATGTCCAAACAATGTTGGCTAATAATGTACTTACTACATAGGACTAGATTGTTTTAGTTAGGGAATATATTCAAACACCCATAAATATTGCTCTGTGAAATGTGGTCACTGGTTGTTCTAAAAGTGCTGTAGTAATAATTTGGTAGAGACCCCAAGGCACAGAGCAACTGAAACTTCTTACAAAGACAAGGCTAAAATGTACAAAGAATTTTGAATAGCGAAAATTTGCTTTCTTTCCATTTTACTTCACATCATCTCATTTTGTTTTACCAAAGTCCATATTCCCTAAAAAAAAGTACCATACATTTGAGACAACATAGAGAAAGAATAGCTGTATATTTTTCTCATGCTGTGACAAATATTGATTAATGATATTTGTCGTCATGAATTTCTTCAGTGAAGTCAAGTTCATTATGGTCAACGCTATCTCAGACATAGTAAGTACACATTGCAAGAAACCCATACCATAATACACATAAAAAATGAATATGGTACAGTGACTGCTCAGCCACCCACCCTCTGATATTTGTGATAGGCTTAACAAAAAAAAAAAAAGCTCCTGGCTGTTATAAAATAAAGACATACCAGGATACTGAGGCCAGAGAAGAAATGAGGAAAATAAATAAATCAGAATATGAATATATAAACAATTTTATGATTGTTTCTGTATGACTTGTGTCATTCTAATCTATATATAGTATACTTTAAAAAATGAATTTACCAACGAACTTAATGATTAGAAAAACAACACCCATGCACTTTTGAAAGACAAAAATATTTTAAAATTCTTGTGATTCATAAATGATTGTCTCTCCTTTTTTAAGTATGTATAAAATAGAAAAAATAATAAAAAGCAAAATTCACGTCTTTAGTTTACACAAAATACCAGAAGTCACACAACACTGTAAGTACTGAGGGATATTACTATGACATAAGCTGGTTAATATAGTTGTTTTCTTAAGTTTCTTTATCTAGCCCCCAAATAAAAAAATTCAACCTAAGTTTGGATACTTAAAAAACTAAATCCCATCATTTCACAATTCTATAACTCAAGAAGTTTATCTCAAGTACTTAAAATAGAATTACTAACAAAAAGAAGTAACAATTATAAATACCGGTAGTTGAAATAAACATTTTTGATGGGGATAACTTCAATAAAAAATTAGATTCGTTATTATAAACTACATTCAATTGGCAATCATGTTTTTTTCCCCTTCTTTTCTTAACTAATAAAAGCCTACTTTTTTTTTTGAACATTTATTTTAAAAAATGGAGCTTAACTTACAAGTCTGAACACTTGTATTAAAAAATAATAATAATAAAATAAGTCACATTACCAATAGCTAATTAAGTTCTAAAATTAAATGATTTTCAACATGCCAATGTCTATTTAGAGATGTCCTTTTTCATACCAGAAGATGACCTGGTGAGAAGTTCCTTTTTGACTTGAGGCCTAGTTAATATAAAAAAAATATATATGATTAGTCCTTTTATCAGAATATACAAATTACAGACTTGCAAGAATGCAGATTTATTAAACAATTGTGTTGGATTTTTTAAAAATATATAAAGTCATGCAAAAAGTGTCATACTTAACCCATGATCTGTCATAATAGCTGCTTCTGTGACGTTATGGCAGATATAACTGACCAATGCCAATTTATTTATTTATTTATTTAGGCATTTTTATATAGCGCTTATCATAAAGCTCTAAGCGCTTTACAATTATTAAAACATGTAAACTAAGTAAATACAAATGAGACACTAGGATAGTAACTACTATTCTAAATCAACCCGAAACAGAAAATGAGGTAGGGCAAGGAGGGTGCATCACAGGTCATAGGCGGACCTAAACAGATGAGTTTTAAGGGACTTTTTGAAAATGGACGAGGTTTCACTATGACGTATATGGAAGGGGAGCTGGTTCCAGAACGTGGGCCCATGGAAGCAGAAGGAGCATTCACCGATGGTCTTAGTTTTAGTTCTTGGGATTGAGAGGGTTCTACTGTCAATGGAAGAACGTAGTTGTCTTGTGGGGATGTAAGGAAGCAACAGTTCAGAGAGATAGACATCTCAAACAAAATAGGCCTTATTAATTTATAGAAAACTTAGGTAAATAATTGATGTGTACATGTTTTTAAAATAATTTAAACCCAGCAGAAATTAATTGTTAAAACTAACTAGTAGGATTCAGATGTTGGCCCTGCAAAACAATAGCCTAATTTATTTGAATTATTTCTTACGATAGTGAGTTTGAAGACAGTTTTGTTGGCATTACTCAGGGTAGTGAAAATTATGATAGTGGATCAAGCAAATACTAGTAGCAGTTCAAGTTCTAATAGTGTAAAATAGGTTGCTAATGAATTGAATAGGCTTTATATAAAGAAATAAGCAGGTTCTATAAACCTAAAAACTTTATATTTTCTAAACTGAAAGAATGTTTTATGTGTCTGAAAAACTTATTTAGATGATCAGTCAGTGTGGGTGTGAGCTGAAGAAAGATAAACCTTATCACAGTTGCACTCATTGAAAGGTTAAGGTCATATTCATTAGACAAAGCTCACAGAATTTTAAAATTCATATTGTATGATTTCTTGTTCAATTTACTCTCAGAATATCTATACTTATCTGGGTCTCTGGATTCATTTTCTATTAGTAATGGGTATTTTAGTGATACATATCACGTTATGAAAAAAGAGTTGACACAGCACGTTTGCATTTAATAGGTCGTGGGTTAAGGAAAAATAATAATAATTTTATTGGATGAAAACGTACCGGTTTCTTTATCCTTGGAAAACCGTGAATAATAACTATGCATGGAATAACTTATACAATGAGGTATTTTTGTTAAAAGGATGACATTTCATTTCGTTAATTTAAATACAGGAGTCTGCATTATTACAGCTTGCATACTTAACCAATGAATTATCTCTAATTACATCTAAATTGATATTAAATTTATCACAAATACATTTTTCCTTTCCAAAAATCTGACTTAAGCTATTTTCATTTCATTTGGTTGATCTATTGCGGAAGTAAACAAGTTAAAATATGTGCACTGTGCATGGAAGACAATTCATGAATAGCGTCCTTTGGACATCAAGGTTACAATAAGAGGATATGAAGTGTTAAGAATCTCAACTATCTGTGAATTTAATATGATCAATTTCTAAACTTGTTTAAAATTGAAGTCACATTATATCACTTTCTGAGTTATGATTTTTAAAAGTTATGAATATCTACAGATAAAATTATAATAAAAAGAAATTTCCATAATAAATTGCAATGTCTGCACTTGATAATTGATAATCCAGAGTAAGCAATTATGGAGGACTAAAATTTAATAATTTAATAAATTAAGGCTCACCCATCACCACCAGGATGAATATCCTTGACCTTAGCTAGCAAAACCTTCAGAGCATCTAAGGCAGCCATGTCTCTTGATGATTCAAGAGTATTGCTGCTTCCATGAAAATTTTGAGACGGTTCTTTGCCAACAGTGATCCGCGTAATGTGCTCTGTTCCCGTTTGCCGTTTCTGTTAAAAAGTATAATTGTAATCAGCGAATGAGGAATCTTATATACTTGGAAAAAAACAACAACAATACAATTGGGTTATGCAGCTGTTAATCCCATAAAATAAAGGTTGAATTTAGCTACTTATAACAAAGCTTAAATTTCGAAGGCTATTGAAATAATGATGCAGCAATGTCGCTTTACAAAGTTTAAGTTTGGGTAGTAAGAATTGACCAGGAACACTGAAAAATATGAGTTGCTTGAAAAAAAAAGCAATTTTTAATAGAATAAAAATTATACATGCACATTTTAAAAAAGGACATCTGATTAATTTTTAAACAAAAAATAAATATTAAAATCCAGCTAGCTATAAGGTTAAAAGCTACTTTTACATACCTTTGTAAAATCATCAATCTCAAGTTCTTGGCCTAAGGCCTTGCAGAGTTCTCGTAATTGAACTTCTGGTCGCAGGTTAGGCTTCAGAATACTAGCTAAATTTACCAAGGATTCTTTCTGTGTCAGAGAACTGGAAGATGAAGCTGTTACAGCAGCAAAAATAAACAAATGAATATTATAAGAATACCTGTTTAATTAAGGGTACCTAAAGTTATACTAAAGAAATTATCCCTTTTCAAAATAAATTTCAAACTGCTTTATTTTTATAAAAATTTAGTAAGACAGCTTAAACTTAAAGTCCGAATCAAATCTGACTTTGAAAAAAAAAATCTTTTAATTCTTGATAAAAATTGTATTATTCAACTACCTGCAGAGTTCATGACCAATTTGCTGTTTGAAGTAGGAAGATGAAGTAACCCAGGCACTCTCTGTTGTATAGATTGAGTGGGACCTGATGGTTTCTCTGTACTTTCAGCAGGTGGATCCCCCTCAACAAATGTAACCTTTTTGTCTCCATTGCTTTGGTTTCCCTGAAAATTAAATGTCTGTTATTGAATAAGTCGTAAAGGAGTGAGATGTCTTATCAAAATGATCACTCTTTATTTTTAATCATTGATTTTACAGCTCTGGTGTTATGTTAGTTTTTGTTCATTTGAAAAGATTTTCTCCATACTTATTAAGACATAAAATAAAAAATTGGTTGGAACTCAAGATTTGACAATATTTGAACATACACTTAAATAAATTTAATGATTTGCTGACAATACATCAGACTAATCGTAGTCTGCTCTACTCTTAGGCAAATTTACTTACTTCCCCAGAGGGAGGATGTTTGAAGGCAGATTTTGCAGGCTGTGGACTAGGCTTAGTGTACCCCAAAATCTGTAACATTGCCTCTGCAGCTGATCGTTTTGCAAGCTTTTTGTTTGGACCCGTTCCAGTGCAATTTTTATCTTCTACCTCAACCTGGCAGAGTAAAGAAAAATATTTCTAAAAAAATATGTCTTTACAAAAGGACTGCGACATTGGACACAAACTTCTTAGATATTTAAGCAACACATGCAATTTAAAAAACATTGATTAAATTTCCCAATGTATAATTCCAACAGTTCTGAAAATATTTTTAAACAAAGACAATAACTGACTAAGAAATTTGCACCTACCTGCATAATAAATTCTCTCCTTCTTGGCAGGCCCCTTTCAGCTACAAGAGTATAAACAGGTTCCTTCTTTTTCTGTGCTTGCATAATTTGAATAAGACGACTGATCGGATTAATGCCAACACCATAGTTAGGGTCAGCTTTCTGTTGCTGAAGTTCTGACTGTACAAAGATTTATACAAACTTATTTTGTAGAACCAAACCATTTTCCTACGTTGGATATGGTTAAAATAAATGCATCTATGTTGCTGTACAAAAATAAAAGAATATTAAATAATATAAAAAATGCTTTTTAAAAATATGCGCACAAAAACGTAACAAAAACCTTGATAAGATTCCTATTCTTCTTTTTGTTGAGCTGAATCTTTGATTTCGGCCTGGGATATAAGGGAGTGGGAACAGGCGGTAATTTTCTGAGCTCTTCCAACATAAGTTCTGCAGCTTTCTTTTTGGACGTCTTTTTACTGTTCCCCTCTCCTTCTGTCACCTTTTCACCTACAAGACATCTGGTAATGAAGTTCTTCATGTGGGGCGGGCCAGCTTCACGGATCACCTGTTGAACATTTTAAAGTTAAATTCCTTCATAAAATAAAACAAGCCAAACATTCAAAGGAGTTATTAATAAAATTATCGTAATGCAAGTATATTTATACACGCTGAAAAATAAGCAAAAGTTACCTCAAAATTGACAGGCATGTTTCTGCGCAAGGCAATTTCATGGACCAAGCTGATTTCTGACTTAAGACTATCTATATAAAAAAAAAAGGAAAAAACAATGCCAGATAGAAACAGTAAATACATAATATCTATTGCAACATAAATTTACAAATTATGTAATAATAAATTCATCATTTCAATTGAACATTTTCATAAGAAATTTCTTAAGAGTAAGAGAACTTACCATTACTTTCTTCTTCAGCTTGCTCTTGATCTTTTTTAGCTTCATGCTGTACAGGCAGGTTTTTAAGGATGCGCAGGGCCTTCTGTGCTGCATTGTGACGTGCTGCCTGACGTGTTGGGCCATCACCAATGAATTCACGATGGCCAACACGCAAGGAGACGTAAAATGGACGATTCATACGGGGATAATGGTACCTAAGAGGCCAGAGTACACCACTGCCCCGATATCGGGGATCCCTACTGGCACGCATGTATTGGTGGTATCTAAAATGAAACATAAATCATCCAATATGTATACTGTGTTGATTTTTGGAAAAGTACATAATATAAAGGTAGTTTGACACAAGATAATCCAGTTACTAGAGTACAGGTTTCCAGCCCACTGGAGGTAACCTCAATTGGAGGTTCAAAGGGATTTATGTAGGGTTGCGGGCTGGAAAAAAAACCAATGGGAAGTAGTGATTTTTAAATGTTTTTTTAAAGTCTGAGTTACATCAAATAACACCAATTATATTATACTGGAAAATTAAGTTTTAAAATGTTTTCCTTTTCAAGAATTTACACTAAATCCCTTTAACAATATATAATAATAATAATACAAAAGAACTGTTTTCAGAAGTAGAGGAGAAAAGATTAGTCTAAGACTCATCTGATTAAATTTACTTTTTAAATAATAATAATAATTTCTTTACCTCTGGCTGTATATGCCTCTGTAATCCATTCCCGGCTGATGATAGTAAGGAGGTTGCTGTGGTTCAATAGCCTTGTATATTGCAGCTTCGCCACGTTTCATTGCAAGTGCATTTAATTCAACAGTGGGAGTTATGTTTTCATCTGAAATAGAAAGGAATTCCCTTTCATGAAGATTAACTTAATGTGTTACTGAAACAGACTGAAAAATAGCTGCTCAATGATCACAACTCTCCTCACATGCATTATTCACTGAGCTGCAAAAATACTTTTAAAAATACTCTTAAAAGCATGCTTGTAAATGTCCAGACTATCTTGAATTTGCTGAAATGAAGTACAGTAAAGTCTGATCAGCAATTAGTCACATGACAAGCTGACGGACAAATATCTTGTGGAAATTTGCTACGGTGGTCATTGACTTGGTCGAATATTTAATAGCCGGAAGAATATCTAAAAAATAATTCACTTAATCGTCCAGTTGCCAGACATGTATGCACTTCGTAAAAACAAATTCAACACTTCCTGTCGTACCAGAATTTTTGGGGTCACTTTTGGATTTTTATTACAGTTAAAGTTCGAAAAATAGGAATTTTAAGGGGTTTCTCGGAAGGGTTGGCAGGTCTGGTTATCGTTACAACCAATAAGCAGCTTCCATTCCAGATAAATCTCCATGGACCTAAGAATTTGATGCTTTAATCACTATGTTCCCCTGGCCTAGACAAGAAACAAATAATGAAAACACCAACATATTTTAGGTAAACATACCTCCACTATCTACACTGTTGCTACCGCTGTACCGGGCAGGTTTTGGTGGTGGATGCGGATGTTTTGTTTCAACCAAGGCTATAGCAGCCGCGGCATGTTGGGCTTTCTTTATGCTTTCCCCTGAGGCAGAGTATTCCTCGTCTCCTAGCTTCAGTTTAACATAGAAGGTCTTCTTATGTGCAGGGCCCTGCTCATCCACCAGCGTGTACTGATGGCTCATCTACAAAACATAATAAGTTCTAAAAATATGCAACAGTAATCTCACTACAAAAACATTTTTAAGTGACATTAAAATAAAATTGGAGAAATCTCAATAGCAAAAGTTTAAAAAAATTGGATACCTTGTTAAACCTGGCTAGTTCATTTATAAGACACATGGGGGTTTTCTCTTTTGTGTTTGCCAAGCCAAGCATCTCAGTGGCATTATTTTTAGATTCTTCAGATTCTTCATTATCATCTAGCTTTACTTCAACCTGGTAGAAAAAAAGATAGTGGGGAGAATAATATTTCTGCAGTTGCAGATTAGTTTATTATATGGAAGAATTGAAAGAAAACTATTGAAAGCTCCTTTAAGTGTTAAAATTATGGCTGTGTTAAAGTTTAAAACAATATAGTTAAAGGTCGTTGTTTTGCTTTTACAAAAATGGGAAATCTAAATTTCAAGATAAAATTCCTTAATTACAGTACTAAATACCTTATCACTGCTTTCTTTCTTGCTGTCAGTTATTCCAGATTGGCCATTAATAATTAAGGGTTTTGATTGCTGTTGGGGTTGCAGCTGAAGGGTGGATGGCTGACTGGGTTGCTGAATTTGACTGGAAACATTTTTGGAGGCAGAAGTAGGGTGCTGCAGGATTTGCTTTGGCTGCACTTGTTGCTGTTTCTGAAATCGTTGCTGTTGGTGCAGACTTCGCTGCTGTAAATGTTGCTGAATTTGAAGCTGTGCCTGCTGATGTTGCTGATAGCTAGAGGACTGATGTTGAGGTATTGGTTGCTGTTGAATTTGAATTTGCTGCTGTTGATGCTGAAGCAAATGATGGTGCTGTTGTTGCATGGACTGATGAAGGTGATGCTGTGAAGGTTGTTGGGGCTGAGATACAGAAGCTGACTGGTAGTGGTGCTGTGGAACTGGAGGTTGAATTGGGGGTTGTGGCTGTTGAGTTTGTGGATACTGGTGATGCTGATGTTGGACACTCAATGCATTACCCTCAAGAGTTATGTTTGAGTGAAGGGATGTACCTGAAAATATTCATAAGAAATTTTCCCCAGTTTTAATAGGTAAAAGAATATTTTATCTATATTTTCAAAAAATAAAAAAGTGATTAAACTATTAACAGTATAAAAAATGTCTACTGTGATGGCTCTTCAAAACAAAGATATTGAACATCTTGGTATACAATAGGCATCATGCAAGAAAAGAAATTATGAATGGCCTTACTCGTCAAGCTTTGGTAATTTCCATTCTGTGATGGCAAGCCTCCTATTGCAGAATTGTATTGATGAGTTGAAGAAATATCTGGTGACATTTGTTTCTGACTATGAAAGTTATTCACCAATTGCTGTTGCTGAATATGTGACAGTTGAGAGACAGAAGCAGGTTGAAGCTGGTATGCTGACTTTGGCTGAGCCAAAACTTGGGAACCTGAGATTATTCAGTAAACAATATAATTAATGTCATTAACTATTTTTTTTATGCACTACATCCAAAGTATATTTTAAAAATAAATAGAAAGCAGTCCTTCACACAGTCTGAAAACTCCCTAAATATAAATACCCCACATATATATATAAAACACCCTGAGACATGTAAATTGTGGCCCTCAAAACCAACAACCATATAATAATTTTTTTTGTTCCAAGCTAAAGTTGTTTGATCTATATACTTTAACCCTCTTAAAACCACTAGGCCAAAGTAGCGAATAGGAACGAACGGTAGATCTATCGGCCCAATAATTCAAGCCTCGATATTGGATGGTTGGTCTTCATACCAACTTATCAGATTTCTTCTAACATGTTCCTGCACACCCTGGCATTGTAATGGCGGCCTCCATTTATTGTCAACTGGCAGTTGTTGCAATCAAGAATTTTTGTGTGGGTTTCAAGTAATATCTTAAAATTCCAAAATGTCTGACAGTGACACTGAAAAAACAATCTTTAGCGATTCTGATATGCTAGCAGTCAATCTGACAGTGATGAAAACAACCAGGAAAGTAATGGAGACAATCAAAATGATGATGTTGACAATAATGTTGTCACTCTTGGTTTAGCACTAGGGGTCCTGAACTGGATAGAGATGACCACACATGAAAATATATGACCTATAAATATGCCTCAAGGCATAGGCACCCCATTTGAGTACTTTATGCTATTTTTACACTAAATATCACTCAAATGTTTATGAGAGAGACCAACAGGTATGCAGACAACTTTCTCAGTAACACCTACTTAAGAGAAGGTCTCTAGGTCATAAATGAGGGCCTGTTACAGTGTCTGTAGCAACTGAAAAATAGCCTGGGGCAGGAAAAGGAGTAGAACCATCTGAGGGGTCATCCATAAAAGACGTCCATACAAAAGGGGGGAGGTAGGGGGGGTTCAGCAAAAAGTGGACTAAAGTGGACAAGAGAGGGGGGGGGGGTGTTTAAGGACAAAGTGGATGTCCACATTATAGTGGTTTTTTAAGTGCAGCAGTTTTGCATAAATTTACTGCAAAAAACTTCTAGTTTAATGACAAAAGAGTTAGAATGCAAACTCAAACAATCTTTCACAAACTGAGTGGTTAAATTTAGAAACGATTTTTTCAATATTAATAATTAATACGCTTGAACATTATTTTAAAAATATGTTGTTAAAGTTTGATTTGTCAAATACAATAAAATCTCAAATAACAGTTTTGTTAAATTCTTAGAGTTTTTCCAGAAAATCTTTAATGATTTTTATTTTGTGTTGGGGTTAAAAAATGACCGGAATATTTGAATTTGACTTTATTTTTTATTAAAAAATTAGATATATGACAACAAATTAATTATTTTACGAAAAAATGTAAAAATATATTTAAATTTAAAAATACAATCGTAATCTAAAAAACAAAATTTCATTTTATGCCTCATGTATTATCAAGGATGGTCGTGTGACCTATTCCGGACCAACATCCATATCAACAAGGAGTGGTAAACATGATTCCAGTTCTGCTGCATTACATGTTGCAGATTTTGATGTACTTGTCTCTCTTGATATTTTCAAGAATGTGGCATGTGCAAATGGTGGACTAGTAAAGCCTAAAGTAATTATTACCGTTGACGGAGGCCCAGGTTAAAAATAGCAAAAAATTGGTGTACGTCTTTTATGGATGGCCCCTGAGGTGTCTGAAGGGCATACACGGGCCCTTTTCCCCCAAAACACAAGTGTTAGGACTCATTCAGGCATTAAAAATTCACATAAATGATACAAGTAAGTTATGCTTTTTCTAAATGTAACAAAAATTACATGCATAAATTATGCAAATCAGGATAGCATAAATGCTTAGATCAGGGGTGCCACTCACTGAAAGCTGTGAACCCTGAAATCCCTTTCTAAAAATTTCTTGAAACCTGAAACTTCATTTACAAATTTTTCAATCCCTGAAACTTAATGAAACTCAAAATTCATGATTATCGCAATGCTGCATTTTGTTGATTAATATAAAAACAAGCATGAAATTATCAAATAAAACATTGAGATACATCACAAATGAACAAAATTAAGCAATTAAGGTGTATACATGTAAACATTTATTAGTATTTATTAAATTTACAGCAATAGCAATTTTTCAATTTACTTAGACTTGAAAAGTCAACTTTTGCAATGAGTTATCTGGGCATTTTAGAACAAAAGTATAGCTACTACAAGTGGAAAGTATCTTTTCCTATATGGAGTTAATGTTGTCTTCTTTATGATGAAAAGGAAAATGGATAGTTTGAATCAACACACTTTAGTATCTATACTATCTCCCAAGTGTGAGAGTTTCATAGTTTGACACATAAATTTCATAAATTGAGACGTTACAAAAGTGGACACCTAAGATGGGTGATAAAGATGATTGACTCAGACATTTTCCCCTTGAATACTTGATATCAATATTTCCAGCATGGTATTCATTGAATGCTTATTCAATCATGATTGCCAATTGCTGTTCTGTAACTGTAATGCCCATCAGTTCTTTAAAGTTAAAGGAACTGTTAACTGTTGGGCATTACATATTTTTATTGAGCCTATATCCTGAATAGTGAAACAAAATAAAATATATTATCTTATTAGATTTATAGTTTATAGTAAGGCATACATAATAATATCGACTATTATACCAGTATTTAACTACGGCACTACTGCTACGGTAATACAGAGCATTATGAATACTAGTAATAGTAGAATTACAAATTACCGTAAAGTATACCCAGAGTTAGAACACGGGAGTGCATAACTAATAAACAAAAACTAACTAAATACAGTTATGTCAGGCTCTCTACAGAACGGATAAAAATAACTTAATCATATTAGCCTATTTAAAATTAGAAGGCTTACTCCGTAATTAAATGTAAAGTGAACTTAAGAAGTCTTTAAAAAAAAGTTAAACGCCGCCTAGCTCTTCTAATAAAAAAAATACAAGTCGCCTGCATACAGAAAAACTACATAACAAAGTACGCTAAGCTTAGTCTTGTTAGACAGCGCTCGGACGAGTAGTTTTCTTTTTATGATAATGGTTACCCCACAATTAAAAACTAAATTAAAAAGATATTTACTAAATTTTACACTTTGCTTACCCAAACACTTCAAATATCTCTTGATCGGCGACGTGAACAGAAAATAAATATTTCTGGTCTATCGAAGTAGTACGGTACTCGAAACGCGTAGTGTAAAGCGCATGCGCAAGGGGAAACCACTAGCTCTCTGTCAACAGAAAGGCTAAAAATAGACGAGAGATCGGCGATAACGTCCATTTTCAAGGAATTTTCCTGGTTTTTCGCGAATTCTGGAGCACGTTGATTCTTTTTTAAAAAAACAGACAGAATCCGTATTTGAATAAATTGAACTGGCGAATCCGGAAATAGAGAATATAAAAACTCGTGAATCCGACACTGAAAAATATTTAGCCTCATGAATCCGGAATTCAGGATGACCCGGAAAAGTGGCACCCCTGGCTTAGATTTCAGTTTGATTCTCAAAGATTGTATTAGTTCATTTTATTTCCTAAAAAAATATATAGTTTCATACATGTAAAGGAAAAAGTTTATTATTTGCAATATGAGTGCTGCGTTTGTAAAAATTTCTGTCTTCTTGGCACTAACACCCCAAAAGGACTCTGTCCCAAGAGGGTTAAATCACATTTATTTGTTATAACATTTTATATAACATCAAAATCTACTGGTGCAACCAAAACAGTGATGGTACAGCCACGGCAATGATATCAATAATCATTAGGTGATACACTTTCAGATTTTAAAGATGTTGCAAAATTATATTAACTTGTTTTGACTCGTTCATCTACATATTACTCATTCCTAAAAATTTTGAAAAACTATTAGTATATTATATTTACCTCGCTGTGCTATCATTGTCCTCTGCTGTCCGCCTGAAGCTGTAGCACCCGAGTTCATCAGTGAATGTTGCTGCTGTTGGTTACTCAGCATATGATTGTGGGACATTATAATAATTATTGCTTTCTTTTAAAACACTAAAACAAGCAGCACTTGATATTAATTCTTGACTAGTTCTTAGGATAGACCTATTTTTAAATATTTGGGTGAAGAAAAGCCTTTTCAGACAGAAAAGATTTCATTTAGATCTGTATGAGGAACAAAAAAAAAATTAAAATTAAAAAATAAACAAATTAGGAAACAAACTTGAATGGGCATATAAATTTGAGAATTTCTGACACTTTGAGACAGGGGAGGGGTGGGTACAAATAAAATTTGTGACGTCATAAATTTTTTTTAGAATCTAAAATTTTTCGAAATTGCCTCGGCCTCAGGTATTATAAATATCGTGAATCTCAGTCGTGCGTATCGAAAAATGGCACAAAAATGTTTCTGCTTGAGGAGGAATTTGTTGTTTTGTGTTTTACGACATAGTTTTCTAATAATAGTGCATATTAATCCATTATGGGAAAATGTTAAAGAATAGAACTAATTCTTAGGTTAGTTATGAAAATTTTATGTATGTCTGGAGTTTTTTCAGGTGTGACCTGACATGGGGGAGGGGGGGGGGGCCGGCCTGATAAGGTCATTGTTTGAGTGTGACATAATTTGCGAAAAAATTTAAAATGGGGTTTTTCGCAAAATTGCGTCACACTAAATAATGACCTTTTCAAACCCCTCTCCCCATTTAAAAACGATGTAAACATACTAAAAACGAGCATGCTGCAAAGGAAAGATAGTTCATTTTTCATTAGTGTGACCTGACATGGGGGAGGGGGGGGGGGCCGGCCTGATAAGGTCATTGTTTGAGTGTGACATAATTTGCGAAAAAATTTAAAATGGGGTCTTTCGCAAAATTGCGTCACACTAAATAATGACCTTTTCAGACCCCTCTCCCCATTTAAAGACGATGTAAACATACTAAAAACGAGCATGCTGCAAAGGGAAGATAGTTCATTTTTCATTCATACATTTAAAACCGTGAAAAAAAAAACAATTAGATATTTTAACATAACATATTTTATTTAAGGTTGACCTTAAGTAAGTCAAAGATAAAATAAATGGTTTACTTCCTTGTCAGACCTAAATAGATATTTTGAACATATTTTAATTTGGGGATGGCCCACATGATTTTATTTCTTATTTTGGCAATAAAGAAATTGATTGATTTAGCTTGGCTTATGTTATGAGATGACGTGAGCTATGTTCAGTATAAATCAGGAAAGTTATCCTACATCATTCAGGTCATATGATTGATTTGGTCTATTCACTTTAAGTCCAGTGTTGGGATTCCCAAAAGTGACGTCTCTTGGCAAAACTTAACAAAACCTCTTAGCAAAACCCATACCGTTATAATCCCCGTTAACCCAAAATTTACCTTGAATTCTAGTTAAGTAATAGTAGTAAGAAGTAATGAAGACCGAAATCGCATATTCAGGATACTGATTTAAATAGTAATTGAAATGGTCAAGGTATCTGACGTAAAGATTACACATTTAAAGTGATAATAATACAGAAATACACTTTTAGGCAAAAATATTGGATAAATAAACCATGAAAACGGTTGTGTCGCTCAAAATAATTTTAACTCGCCCCCATCTTCTATAGAACAGCACGTGCAAACTTAAACAAGAAAACAATATTTATAACAGTTGCATATGCAAATCATTTCAATGAAAGTTGTACATACCTATTTAGAGTATCAAAAACAAATATCTTACTCCTGAAATAATGCATCTAAGAGCTATGAATTATTGGCAAACAGTAAAGAAAATTTTCAGACTAACATGCAGCCATGTTTGTCTGCCCGGTGACGTTCTCGTTTCAATCTCGTATTTCCGAGTAATATTAAATAATATTTAATTATATTATTTATAGTTATAAATTTTATAAAACTTAAAATCATCTAAGTAAATATTTTTTTATATTTTTAAATAAAAAATATATATGTGGTTATAAATGTAAGTCCCCGGCAACCTGTTTGTATAAAGATGGCGGATGGTGAATTCCGATTAGTATTATTAATTTGTATGAAAAAGGCAAACTAGATTTGTTAATCATACTCGCATCATCAAAAAATCATTAATATAATTGTTGATAAATTCATAATTGAAATGTCGATGATTGCAAAAAATCGCATTCATAGTACTTGGACTCCTCTCAGCAACGAAGAAACAAATAACAAGGTGTGTCACTAGTGTCAGTGTCTCAGATTTCGTAGTACTATAGACTATAGATACTAGTACGTCACTCAAAAAATAAATTAATAAATATTATTACTATCTAGTTTATGTCAGTAATGAATAAATCATGAATCATGTCATTTTCCGTTTTTTCGTCTTCATTCCAGTGAATCCACCCCACAGCAAACACCTTACAGACAATAAGCCTATCTGAATCTGACCTATCTTCATTCAGATTAATTCAAATAATATAATTCACTGCTATTTTATCTAGCCTATTTAAATTGAGCATTAAAATTTTTTATACTTAAAAGTTAATTTAGACCTAACTGATCTTCTAAAGTAAAGAAAAGCTAATGTTGAGTGATGATAACATTGATGATGTCCACATTGAACACACTCACTTAAGACTTAAACTTAAGTCTCACTCACTGCGCCCCCCCCCCCCCCCCCCCCCCCCCCCCCCCCACACTCAGCCTCTCTGATCAGAGTATATCAGAGCAGTGCCAGTATAAATTCTACTGTTCTAGACTGTTGCTTAATTTGACATTAAACTAAATTACTTAAAATTCATCCTCCACCATTTATTGTAACTGATGTATAGTATAACACATTCACATAACTTATTTATATCTTCATTACTTCATGATAATAGCATGTATACTTTAAACAGATTTATTTAATGATACCATTTTACATAAAGTAAAAGTAAAGCCTTGCCTTTTATTTGTTATTTTCCCAATTTTATATTACTATAAATTGTCAAAATCAGGAAATAAGAACTCATTGTGAGTGAAAACTTGATTTTAAAAAAAAATAAAAAAATAAAAAAGTGCTATTTATTAATTTCAGAAACTAATTTTGAAAAGTAAAATATTGAATTTTAAAAATGAAAAAGATAAAAAAAATTCAGTCATAATCAATAGGATGCTCTGGCTCTAGGTTAGAAGACTTCCCATGATGATTTTTCATTCGAATATCATTTTTGTAAGTAATTTAACATGTTTCATTTCAGATATTTGAGGAAAGGATAAACCTTGTCAGTAAATGGGTGAGTAATTTAAATGGAAAATTTTAATTTTTTAATACCATTTTTATCTTAAACCAACCGTTATAATTCCTCATTGTACTTGTAATTTGATTTTTTTAAAAATACAAATTATATTAAAATAATAGTTTTTAAAAGAAATATGAATTAATGAGAGATAATTAATTTTTTCAGTTTCAAAAGTGGACAGATGATCAAAGGAAAAAGCTTTTTGAGGAACTTGTGGGAAATAGCAAAACCAAACAGTTGGAATATGCAAGAGAACTTATAGATAGCAGAGTTCCGTGCAGCAAGGATGATTTCACTAGATTTTTGCCTCGTGTCATCACATTGTATATCTTCTCATTTCTTGATGCCAGAAGTTTGTGTCAATCTGCCCAAGTATGTATTTATTTGTTTTAATGTTCCATAGTATAGTGAAACTGATCCCAAATATTAATATATGTTAAATAGTTTGATAAGTCATACATTTTTAAAGAATTTTAAAGAATTTAAACAAAAAAATCATATCACTCTTAAACTTATATAATTTTTTTGTGTGTGCCCTCAACCCCTTTGTTTTTGGAGAGTTAAGACAGGCTATTTCTTTATCTACTGCCAATAAGGCTGCTGTATTCTATCTTTGGTGGCTAAATATTTTACCCTGTCATTTTCCTTCTACCCAAAAGCTGGCTGATGAATTATAATATTCATAAAAGCGCTTCAGATTTGTTTTTTGCTGGCCTGAATTAAATAATTATAGTTAATTGTTATATGTTTGTCAATATAATTATTCTTACATAATTTTATGCAAAAATTATTTAATGTTATTTAACCATTCTATGGGTGATTACCATGCTCCATTCTTCATCATTTGTTAGATGACCATGTTCTATTTATCATCCTACTCTAGATGACTAAATTCCATCCAGTAAATGGTGGTGTTGAAAATTTATTAAACAACTAATAACACCTTGTTTTTCGTGGAAATATTTTTTTTTTCATTTTTATTTTACTTTAGCAGTTTAAATAGTTTACATATTTTTAATAATTGTAAAGGGCTTAGAGCTGTAAGGTAAGCGCTATAAAAAAATGCCTAAATAAATAAATAAATATCAGATATCTAGAAACTATAAAAATGATCTAAATAACAAGACGTTACAGTTAATATGGCATTTTTAATCTGCATTTCAAACGGCTATACATACCCTTTTGTTTAGCTTTGGAGGCCTAGCTAATCACTCTGTATGGGCCCAGCGAAAGGGCCATATCAGTATTTAATTTGTCCATTTATTAAAATTATTTTCTTTGTTGATATGCAAGTAAGGTCATTTTCATTCTTAAGACCATGGGTTCAATAACTTGAAAGTGTAATCTTAGGTTTGCTGGTACTGGAGATACCTCAGTGAGCTGGACCAGCTCTGGATGCCCAAATGCCTACATTTTGGATGGTACTTGACCTTCACACCAAGTCCCTATGAAAATGGAGTGTGGAAAAGAAACTTCATAGAACAGTTCAAAATTGTGCAAGCATTAATGCCAAAGGTAAATTCATTTGAACAAAGGGAGTCCAGGCATATTTTGAAAATTTTTTAATTTAATTCTTTCACTATTTTTCCTTTACATCAATGGTTTTCAACTAATGTTTTCAGGAGAACAAAAACAAAACATTACAAATTCCCCTTTAATGTAAAAGATGAGAATTCATTTAAAAACTTTAAACACTTTTTTGCTTATTTTAAATGATACACTTTGACGAACTGTGGAAAAATTTTAATAATGAAAAAGCTTTTTTTGGACAAAATTTTCTTTGTTCAATGGTAAGTACATTTGGATCCACAATATTTTACTGTATTATTTTGAAGAAAAAAAATTTTCAGAGTCCACCGACGTCACGCATGAATAAACTAAAACTTGATGACAAACTATCTGATAAAAGTGGCAAAAGTAGTAAAAAGCAATCAGGCGTGGCCCCATGGAGGGGTTCGGATCCAGTTCCGAAAGACACCTGGAGATATAACTATCTCAACAATGATGAAGTCCTGGACCAAGTCTCAAAACTGTAAGTGAGTCAAGAGAACCTTATCTCACAATGTAACCCATCTTGATTTGCTAATCTTATTATACAAGCATTATTAATGGCTAGTCTTATAATTCTATATAACCCATCTTGACTAGCTTATTTTGTTATATTTTGTAGCTTAGCTTGATTTTCTAATTTTGTCATACTATGTGACCCAACTTTGTTGCCAAAAACTTTTATGTAGACTAATTTCATTGACTAATCTTGTTGCATTTGAATAACCCAACTTTACTGGTTAATCCTGACTCAGCCCTGCAATATAAATGTAACCAATAGAAACAGGGCTTTAGTTCAACTTGTTTAGGTAGTATTCTCTTTGCATATACCTCGACTTGGTATTTTGGCTTACTTCGGCATCCCAATTGATACGCTAATCTTGTCATACAACTTGATTGTCTAATCTTGTCATACAACTTGATTGTCTAATCTTGTCATACAACTTGATAGGCTAATCTTGTCTTGCTAAATAAACCAGATGTATATTTGCAGTACTAATTTCTTTCCATTAAGATCAACATTACTTAAAATGAGTCAGAAGTTGACTGAAAAGTTTACATTTCTTTCTTTTACTCCACATGGATTGTTGCCAGGAGCATTATCAAACCTATTTTTAATTACCATTTGTTGATTTCTCATGTATTTTTAGTGTCAAAAAGTTTTATAAGGATTAAACTTGAGGATATTTATTAGCAAAAAAATTAGTAAAATATAACCACCTTTGAATATTTCAGGCGGCAAAAAAAAACATATGGCTCATCAACTGATGAAATTATCAAGAATGCTCGCAGTAAGGTGAAAACTGGCAACAATGCACTGAATATGCTGAGCAGGTCACAAAGTTTAACTGTAAGTTTGTTTATCTTATGTTACTATGAAGACAAAATGAACATTTTATTTTAGACTAAAATGAAATTCTTGTCATATTTCTCAATCAAATTTAAAAATAATAATATCTTTAGAATCTCTTATATTATTATATTATGCTTGTGGTGTGACTGCTTCCATTTCCAGATAGCGCGCAAAATATAACGTTAAATGATTTTTTTTTTTTAAATGCAACTGTGTTTGGTGCGTAATATTTTCTTTTCGGAAAATGAAATTGTCTCAATTTCTGTATGGTGTAATAAATATTCTGTTTAAAAGTGTTTGGCACATCCGAATATTAAAATAGTTCATGGGCAAGAAATAAAAAGTGTGCAGTGATGTATCATGGGGAAATCAGAGTAGCAAAAATTAGGTTTCTTAAATATTCATTACTTGAGTTCAATTTTTGTCAAGTAACTTTAGTAGATAGGAAGTTCACTCATTGCTGTGGCCAATGTTTGGAGAGCTATATCTAGTAGATGAGAAGTTCACTCATTGCTGTGGCCAATGTTTGGCGGGCTATATCTAGTAGATGAGAAGTTCACTCATTGCTGTGGCCAATGTTTGGCCAGCTACAACTAGTATAAATATATTCATGCTATTGTTTCTTTTTTTCCAACAGCGCATTAGCACACCTATGGGTGAAACAGAGAGGCCCAGATGGGCGCGTCAGGGTACACAATCCTCATCTCAATTCTACCACAAAAACAAGATGACGGAAAATGGTGTCTTGGCAAAAATCACCAGGCCTGCCCCGGTGAGCCCACCACCGAGAAGAGTGCACTCCAGACCTGCCACATCACGTACACCGAGGGATCCTCCCAGTAAGACCCATATAATCTTTATTAACTCATTCCCGACGGTTGCGACTAAATGCGTCCTCGGGGGGTTCCTCCTGATGCGTCCAAATGCGTCCCGGCGCATAGCGACACACCTCTCTTATTTTTAGTTAAAAATAGCAATGAAATCTCGCACCCCTCGAGACTTCCGGCTATGGCGTGATTTCTGCGTGATTTTAATTTAGAAACCGGAAGTTTTTATCTTGTTTCACTTTAAAACTACGTGTGCTTTAGTACGGCGCGTCTATATGTACCATGTGTTCGTCCGAGGTGCCGAAAATCGATTTTTTTGGCCATTGTTCGTTATTTTTCCCCCGCTAATGTTATATTTATATTAAACCTTATTCATTTTTTGTTGCATTTGTTCTTAATTCATTAACATTAAATAATATTTAGCAACTTAAAAAAATATTATAAAAATATAAATCAATTTCAAAACTGAGTTGCTTCCCTTTTCTCAGGAAAATAAATTAAGTCCGGAAGCAGCGCTGCCGGAGGGAATGAGTTAATGTGATTTTTATCTGTCAGATGAAGGAGTCTAATTTTCTGGTGTGAGAAATGGTTTAAAAATGGACCCATGCTATAGATGACCACCATTTTGTCGAATCATTATCAGCAACTTTAGTGAATGTATTATAGAACTTCTTTCCTTAGGTAGCCAATTTCTTGTTCTTGACCAGAGTTTCCAAAACTTTTAAGTTTGGGTGACCGGTTGACAGATTTATTAATCATTGTTCTTTTTATTGGACGTTAAATATGTCATAAAACATTATGTAATCCTTAATCCGCAAATTTCGATCGGAAGTGATTAACTATCACCATTAAATGTTAGCCATTAATAGTTTTGTTGTTCAGGCTGTTTTAAAATTTAAAAAATAGTAGTCTTTGCCCTAGACCTGATAAAACTTCCTCCCAATAGTAAAACGTTTCTTCCTGTATGTCAGTGGTTCTTTGACGGGGAGGTTCACACAGCTGCTGGTTGTGCAGTAGCCATGTGTAGTTGAGAAGACCCAGAAAATCTGGATTATTTGTATTATTTTTGTATTTGTATCATTTGGGGTGGGGAAGATGGGTTAAATGGAGCTCTGAAGTGAGATCTTTTTGATGGAGATCTGGTAAAATTTCTTACTGTTCCGAGCTCTAAAAACGTTAGTTTAAGAAAAAAATTCAACAATATATCATTTGTGCTTTTTAATATATTTAATTGATTTATTAAAATTGATACCCCACTCTTCTTAGCAGCTATGTTATACCACTCATAGCTGTTGCCAAATCTTCTACCAGCCTTGTTGTCCCACTATTCTTCTGCTTGTTGCCCCACTATTCTACAGTTATGTTGCCCGACTTTCTTCCAGCTATGTTGCCCTATTCCTTTAAAGCTGCTATCCCACTCTTCAATCATTATCTGTCTTGCCCCACTCTTCTACAGCTTTGTTGTCCCACTCTTCAACCAGCTGCTGCCCCACTTTTCTACCAGCTATGGGACTGGTAAATGCAATTCTCATGCCTAGTTAATAAGATGGGTAAATTGCAACAATGAACACATTTCTTTTAACACATAGCATCGCCGCACCCCCCCCCCCCTCTTTTTTTTTCCATTTCAACCACACCTTCCTCTTTTCCCAGATAAAATAATCTTAATCTTGATCATTTGAATGCCGTATATTTTAAATCATTGTAGCCTTTTAAATGCACATAAACTAATTGTAAATAATTTAGGCTGTGTTGATAAGAGAGCTTTGTGATTCATTTGGTCATGAAGGACAGATTACCAATGAATAAGCAAAAGGACAGTTTGCCAATGAATAAGCAAAAGGACTGTTTGCCAATGAATAAGCAAAAGGACAGTTTAACAATGAATAAGCAAAAGGGCAGATTCGACTTACCGATTATCTACAGGTCAATTGGCGCAAACCTAAACTAATATTCCATATACAATTTTTTTTACAAAATTTTTCTCGGAGCTTTCGTGGCAACTGCAATGGAGCTTTTGGAAAAAAAATCCTGCCTCACACTCCTTGTTAAGAACCTCTGACGTAAGGTGACTAGGCAATGGTTCATATCATGTTATTTTGAAGAGAAAATTGACCTTTAAATTTATCACTTTCATTTTAAACCCAATCAGTTAAGGTTGAGGTATGTGTCCTCTTCAAGGGGCAGGTTTGTCACGTAATAAATAATAAGTGATACAAACTTGCAAGATTTTTTGGACATCAAAGTTGCTGAGGAGTATGGTACACTTCCATCAAGTGGATGCAGATTGTTTTGTGTGTAATCTGGTATCCCTTTTTTTCTTCATAGAAACATTGGTTGGGGTTGCTAGTTGAGGCATGATTTTATACAGCCACAATTTTAAAATTCAATTTTGTGAGGTCTTTTAATCGATAGGTTTCACATTTCTTAAAATTTTAATCAATCGGACACAAAGTGTCAGCTTTCCAGGCTCCTCTTGATGCATACAATGCGTGGTATTCTTATGCTATAGACAAATTCGATTTCTTTAGGTTTTTTTTTAAAGGAGACTAAAGCCTCAGACTTTTATGGACCGATGACTGATCTTGTGCAGACGACAACATTTAGGCTTGCAGACCGGCCCTAGTCCATGAACCACCATTTAGGGAACGCTGTCATAGGCAACGCACTTTATTTGTTAAAACTAAAATTAACATGAAATTTTAAATAATTTTTTTTTCTAAATCAGGTACAGATTTATTCCCCCAAACTCCATGGAAAGTTCCAGCACAAGTAGACTCAGATGATGATGACCACTGACCTTGACACAGAAAAGACCAGTTGTGTATTTAGTTGCTTAGATTAGATGCAAAATGACCAACTGAAAGGACATGAGGAACAAGATTATTTTTTAATATTTTATTAAACGCTGACCAGAGGGCCGTATGTAAATGTATGTTGGTCACAATGAGAATTTTTACTAATGTTTTAAGTTAATTTGTTAACATACATTGGAAAGAGGATTTGGGGTCAGATCTGGGTCATACAATGAAAATTAAATATGATGCCAAAATATTGAAATTTGTTGATGTGATATTTTAAAAACCTGTTCTTAAAGTCACCTGTAACCACTACTTTTTGTATGAAATGTGTAAAAGAAATGAAGAGCAGAATTGCTCAAATCATATTTTTTTTAATGGGTGTGATATAAGTATATAGAATGGTCATTTAAGTGTTTAAGACTCTCTTTACACCCATGAATCATGAAATGTTACTCAAGTTTCAGTTTATTCACAAAAAGTATAAAGGGAGTTAAAATGAAAAATTTAATTAAAAAGATTCTTGAGCAATTCATTCAGAAGCCTTTTCCTTAATCTAGCCACCAAAATGGGTGTTAAATCAGCACAGTTTGAGAACTTCGGTTACAGTTGTATATTCTAATGAATGGCAGTAACTCCTCGAAGCACAGGGTTGCATAGCTGAACTGCATATTCGAATTTATAAAATCAAAGTGGTTGCTTTCATGAACATGTTATATGTATTATACTGAGAATTTTTTATGAGAATGATTTACATGATCTGTTAGGTATCAAAGAAATGATCCCAGGGTTAATTTGGCTTTCAATGAGTTTGTTTACTTTTAAACATACATATATGGTTTTTCATTTTTATTTTACTTAGTTTACATGTTTTTAATAATTGTAAAGCGCTTAGAGCTTTAAGGTAAGGGCTATATAAAAATGCCTAAATAAATAAATAAATAAATATATATATATATTAGTGTCTGTCAAAGTAGCTTAAGCAATTACTGCACTATTTTAAATTTGAGATATTATTGTGAAATCATTTACTATCATTTTTTAATATCAAGACTAGTAATAAGTAATAACCCACCAAACAATGATGGCGGCTATGCATGAACTTCTTCTTAAGTTATTTGACAAAACATGGATTCAAGTCAACAGTTTATATGAAACCCAATTAGTGCTAACTTCTGGGAATTTATGCGCCCATTGAACACAGCATTACAGCCATACATACATACCTAGAGAATCATCATTTGTGATCATTATGTTATATCATCTATATGTGATCTCATTACTATGTGATAACATTGTTTGATGTCCTCACTAGGGATTAGAATTGTAGTTTACACATTCCGAAATGTATCAAGACTTAGTTTGCTGTAGTAACAACTCCACATACTGTAAATTGAGCTATTTTCCATTTGTAAAACTTTTCTATTTAATTGCTATTGACTCAGAAAAATCCCTCCATAGATTCATACAATATATTTTATACATTGTATACACCCGTTTGCATGTGAAACTGAACTCTTTTTGGCATAAGGAAATTTAGATTTTTAATTTTTAACCAAAAAATCAAAGGGTTAAACCAATGTTTACATATCTGGACATTACTATACTGAGTTCGTATTGTCAATTAAGACTGGATTTAATTCTTTTTTTTTTAAACATTAAATTTACCCGATTTCATTTTAACTGTATCCAGTTTTTTTTTTATGCCCAAATCAAGGATGTTGAAACTCAGTTCAACTAGAATTTTTAAATATAAAAAAAATAGAGATTTTTTTTTTTTTTTTTTTTTTTTTATACAAGTTTGTGTCACATCTAGCCTAAATTTGAAAATAATCATTTTGTATTTGATATCATCCATGTGTAGAAATAACAATTATTATTTTAATTAACAAAGGATTCCTAAATGTAAATGCCTTTCAACTTGAACAAGTCGAAGACATGAGACAGAAAAAAGCCACTGGCTAGTCGAGTGGTGGTAGTTAAAATTTACTATCATTATTAACCGTCCATTTTTGTTGTGTGCACAACAAAGATAAATTCATTGATCCCCCAACCCTTTAATTATTTTATACACCAGGGTTTCTATTTAAGTTATGACTCTGGTAAGTTCTTGTAACTTTATTAGTCTGCATGTTTTGTGACAAATACCATTTGAGAAATGACTCTATTGTCAATGCTAAATAAAATTGTTTATACAAAAAAAAAAAAAGTTGTTTATGTATACATAATTATTTGAACAAACTGAGTGAAAAATAAACTTGCAGATCAGACAGTTTTTAATTACCGGTACCAAAAGATTTTCCACAAAATGGACCTTGACATTGGATGCCAAACTGGACACTTTAGGTGCAAGGGGCCATCACATTATTTTGGCAGATATTTTTTATCCCCCCCCCCCCCCCCCCCATTTTTAATTACCGGTACCAAAAGATTTTCCACAAAATTGACCTTGCCATTGGATGCCAAATTGGACACTTTAGGTGCAAGGGGCCATCACATTATTTTGGCAGATATTTTTTATCCCCCCCCCCCCACCCAACAACATCCTCAATTAATATGTCATAAAGAAAGAAAAGATACTAATCACACATCGACAACATTTTTTGACCCTCCTCTATCATAGACGCCTTTTGTCATTCATGGATGGCCCCGAACCCATGAACCGCACATGAAGAAAAATATTTTATAAAAATCAGAACAATAGATTAAAAAAAAATTGCTAGACCAATGAATATCCTCAAATTAAATTGTTAAATCAACATATCTTTGTTTAGAGATTCTTATTTATTGTAATCTTTCATTGTGTGATCAGAACAGTGGCCTTGACGTTGGTAGGAAAAACGAGGTCAAATTTTTTTTTTTTTTTTAAGGACGGTGCAACAAACAAAATGGTAAATGTTAATCTTCTATGTTGCTGCTATTCAATAATAATTCATACATTTTCTCTTGTTTATTTGCTGATTTCAAATGCAAGAACTCATCCATTTTTCCCTTTTCAAAAGACTGACAAAATTTGAATTTTTTTGTCTTTATAAGATTTGGTATTCTATTACTGGCAATTTTGACTAGTTCAATTCTGGTTTCCAGGTACAAGAATGCTTGGTTGAAATGCATTTAAATATTGCTGGCTACTGTACATGGAAAACAGCAAATTATAATACAGGATGTATAAAAATATGAGGGCAAATAATAGCACATCACCATGCAGACATATAAATAAATACAAACATTGTTCATTAAATAGATTATTTAGTCCATCTTGACCTTTGTGACCTCACATAATAAAAGATATATACATTCAAATGGAAAACAAACAAATAAACTTAGTTACACATACATTAAAATGAAACATAAAACAAATTTAACATACATGAACATTAAAATGAAAATATAAAAACTTAGTTACATGTATAATAAACTAAACACATACAAACTTAGTTACATGTATAATAAACTAAACACATACAAACTTAGTTACATGTACATTAAAATGAACACATACAAGCTTAGTTACATGTACATTAAAATGAACACATACAAACTTAGTTACATGTACATTAAAATGAACACATACAAGCTTAGTTACATGTACATTAAAATGAACACATACAACTGAATGTGTTAAATCTGCACTTGAAAGGTTCACATAAAACTGAAATAAATGCTGTACTCAAATCCAGTAGGTAACAGAAATAGAAATTGAATAAAGACCACTGTAAATGCTCAACAATTTATGACAGAGACAGATTTTTGTCATCCTCATTCCTTTAAAATTTCGCACTGACCATAAATACTCATTCAAAAATGGACTTTTTTGAAAATATTTCATGGGAGTTAGTGGGGTGGTTGGCTTATGATCAGGTAATGGGAGATTTGTGTATAATATTCCCCAGGTGCATTGATTCTATCATAGAAAGCAATGTAATCAGCAGATTCAACAGAGCCAAGGGAAAAATTGGCAGTGTGCAAAATGGAAACTCATTTTGTGCTCATTTTGTGACTTCCGCGATAGGCTATCAAAGTACCTACATCAAACAAAGTAGATTGCCAAGGTGAAATGTTCCGTATGGTTTCTTTATATGCCTGCAGACAAACATAGTGAGTGTCTGTTATAAAAAATATTGTTTGTTCATTAGTTTTTGGATAAAAACTATATATTTTTTAAAAATTTAGTACCGTATTGCTTCAATTATTTCTACTGGTATATTATTTTATGGGGTGGTCTTAAGATTGGGTTAAACACTTTGCAGGCGGCTTCACCCGGCCAAAACTAAGGGGGTGGGCTAATGAATGAGTATATAAAGTAATTCTTTTTTCCCTTTTAAGAAAATATTATCAAAGTGCTTCGTTACAGTAAGAATGTATGCAGGCCAAACAAAACATCAGATGTCAAGATCACTCTTCTGTATTTAAAGTGTTGTAATATCGCTGGCCTCCAGCAAAAGTTGTCATGAATTTGTCAGCACGGAAGAATCTTATGATTTCATGCATGGCTGACACAGGCAACATGCTGAAATAATATTAATAGCATTAGTGACAGTTTATGTTTTAAACACGTAACTAATTTTAACAACTGGGTTGTTCTTATGTAACACACTTTGCAAAAGAGTGAAGAGCCCTAAAATTACAGTTCTTGTGTCAATAAATTGGTAAACAGGGAACAGGAAAGTGGTGTAAACATGGCTGCAGATAAAGTCACAAGGAAATGAGATTTACCATCCACTACACGGTGTGAGAGGAACTAAGAATAAGATGTCAGTATGCAGCCATGACCAGAAAATTTCTTACTAACATTTGTTGTTTGTCTGTCGAAGTCGACAAGGACCATCGAATCATCCGGTTAGGGGCGGGCGGGGGGGTTGGGATTACGGTGAGCTCTTAGGTGGCTTGTTAGACCGATCCTTGCTCGGAATAATCTATGACACCGTGGGCATGGAATAGTTGCTTCAGACGATGACCTAATGTTGCTCTTTCGGACAAGCATGCGTGTCTCAGCTGTGGTTATTCTCTTAGCTTCATGGGATTTAGCCCCCTTCTTGACAGCAGCTCTCCATCTGGCTCTGTCCTGGGCTGTCTGCACCCATTGAGTAGTGTTTATGCTGAAGGCCTTTAGTGCCACTTTCAGTGAGTCTTTGGAACGCTTTCTTTGGCCTCCTTGGGAGCGCTTGCCTATCGTGAGTTCTCCAAAGAATATTTGTTTCGGGAGCCGGTGGTCTGCCATATCCTCCCAACCAAAACAATTTTTAAAGTATAATACAAATATTAAATAATTGTATTGTTTCCTTTCCCGTATTAGTTTTGTATAAGGGATAAAGAGAGAGTGGGACATAGATTAAGCGAGTTGGGGATAAATATGTAGAGATATGGATAAAAAGAGAGGGGAAGATAAAGAGGGAGGAATATTTGTAAAACATAGAAGAGGGGAGACAAAAAGAAAAATTTGACGAGTAAAGGGGGAGTGTTAAAGATAAATAGAAAAGGGAATATGAAGATAAAGGGAGATAACCATGGATAATATAGAAGAGAGATGGGTCTAAAAATTACCGTACATACTAATAGAGAGAGAAGATGGGGAAGAGAGTTAAAGAGAGAGAAGATGGGGAAGAGAGTTAAAGAGAGAGAAGATGGGGAAGAGAGTTAAAGAGAGAGAAGATGGGGAAGAGAGTTAAAGAGAGAGAAGATGGGGAAGAGAGTTAAAGAGAGAGAAGATGGGGAAGAGAGTTAAAGAGAGAGAAGATGGGGAAGAGAGTTAAAGAGAGAGAAGATGG